AGGGGGAAGGGGAAGGGGGGGTGGAAAGGGGAGGAAAGGGGGGGGAGGGGAGGGAAGGAGGGAGGGGGGGGGAAAGGGAGAAGGGGAGGGGGGGAGGGGGGTGGGAGGGAAAAGGAGACGGACACATCAAACAAGAAGCTGAACAATGGACTGACCACCCCAGAGTCCAGACCTCAACACCACTGAATGTGTTTGATTACTTCAGAAAATGATCAACCAGCTTCTAAGACTGAACTTTGGAGGTGTGTCTGCAGATTCTTTGAGGAACTGAAAGTGAGTCTCCTGAAAAGAATGGAAGCTGTCGCTACTCAAACAGCTGATAGTAGATTTAGCTGTTGAGGCCTCAGTATGATTTTCCTTTTTTTTTTCTTGCTGCTGAAAAATAAGTAACTTGTACTTTATGGCTGTTTTGAATGGAAATTATCAGTGAAGAGTGATCTCTGACGTTGTATAGAATTATATGAATTACATTTTCTAATACGGACAAAAATCAGAGAATATCAAACTGCTGTACTTGCTGAAGGACATGACAGGTATGGGGGTGGGGGGTGCCCATTAATAGTGCCCCTCAAGATCAGTCAAAGGAGGCATACTGTGAGTGTGTGGAGCCATGCCCCAGAGACAGTCACTACAGGGTGTCAGATTGTCTAAGATCCACACCCAAGATCATTTCTGGGTTCATTTGATGGAGGGGCTCATTATGGCAGATATGTTTTCACACAGTGGAGTTTCTTCTGAATCATGGATGCACAATTCCATGTCATCTCTGTGTACACAGCTTTTGCAAAATGGTCCATAACAAGTTCAGCCCTTCACTGATTTTGACTGTAAAGAGATGGCAATTGACAGTAGACTTATGCTTTTATTATTATTAGATGCCTTTGGTGGGATTAAACAGTGGTGACTGGATGTGTCGTATGTCCTTGTGCAGATATACCTAAAAACGAGGACCAGTTCTCACTTGGGAAGATGTTTAGGCATGTCAGATGGCATGAGACGCGAAACTGTCAGTGCAAAATACCCGCACCACTTTTTGTCTCATTCCCCACCATTACAGAGCATTAAACTTGGAGTAACGTGATGAAACAAAAGTGAAAGGGATCTGTTCTCTGAAGCACCACTGGGCTCAAATACAGCTTTCAGAGATCAGATATGGTGCACATGTACACTATATTGCCAGAAGTATTCACTCATCTGCCTTCACACACATATGAACTTGAGTGACATCCCATTCTTAATCCATAGGGTTTAATATGATGTAACAGCTTCGACTCTTCTGGGAAGGCTTTCCACAAGGTTTAGGAGTGTTTATGGGAATTTTTGACCATTCTTCCAGAAGCGCATTTGTGAGGTCAGACACTGATGTTGGATGAGAAGGCCTGGCTCGCAGTCTCTGCTCTAATTCATCCCAAAGGTGTTCTATCAGGTTGAGGTCAGGACTCTGTGCAGGCCAGTCAAGTTCTTCCACCCCAAATTCGCTCATCCACGTCTTTATGGACCTTGCTTTGTGCACTGGTGCGCAGTCATGTTGGAACAGGAAGGGGCCGTCCCCAAACTGTTCCCACAAAGTTGGGAGCATGAAATTGTCCAAAATCTCTTGGTCTGCTGAAGCATTAAGAGTTTCTTTCACTGGAACTAAGGGGCCGAGCCCAACTCCTGAAAAACACCCCCACACCATAATTCCCCTCCACCAAACTTTACACTTGGCACAGTGCAGTCAGACAAGTACCGTCTCCTGGCAACCGCCAAACCCAGACTCGTCCATCGGATTGCCAGACAGAGAAGCGTGATTGGTCACTCCAGAGAACACGTCTTCACTGCTCCACTGCTTCACGAGTCCAGTGGCAGCGCTTTACACCACTGCATTCGACACTTTGCATTATGCTTGGTGATGTAAGGCTTGGATGCGGCCACATGAAGTTTGGAGGTCTGTAGCGATTGACTCTGCAGAAAGTTGGCGACCTCTGCGCACTATGCACCTCAGCATCCACTGACCCCACTCTGTCATTTTACGTGGCTGACCACCTCGTGGCTGAGTTGCTGTCGTTCCTAATCGCTTCCACTTATTATTATAATACCACTGACAGTTGACTGTGGAATATTTAGTAGTGAGGAAATTTCACGACTGGACTTGTTGCACAGGTGGCATCCTATCACGGTACCACGCTGGAGTTCACTGAGCTCCTGAGAGCGACACATTCTTTCACTAATGTTTGTAGAAGCAGTCTGCAGGCCTAGGTGCTTGGTTTTATACACCTGTGGCCATGGAAGTGATTGGAACACCTGAATTCAATGATGGGTCAGTGAATACTTTTGGTAATAAAGTGTATTTAACCTGGCAGATCAGTGCAAAAACATGCTTGAAATGCAATAACAAATTGACCTTCTTGACTGATTACAAAACTGAAAGCAGACTTTTCATTTTCCTAGGCAAGTGAGCAAGTCAACATTCATAAAAAAGGGTCTTATTGTGTTGCCACAGTTTCACACCAGCACTTTCATTTCTGCAGGTTCAAGCCAGTGGCAATCAGCACATACACCGAAACTTCTGTTTTTTCTTAGCGATTTTTAGGCTTATCGATATTTCAGTTTTATGTGGATTTCCAATAAATTTATGATAAAGTTGCATTGGGCTAATGTTAGACAAACATATTGTTAGACAAACAAACTTTGGTTTCAACGCATATAGAGATTCACAGGGTAAATATTACACAAACTAAAGCTGATGTAGTCTGGATAAACTAATGGGTCATGTAGACATAAAGCACAGTTCACTTTCCCTTAATACGGGGGCTTTATGTGAACACTTACATTTGTAGTAGTAAACCTTTACATTAAGCAGCTTAAACTGAGCATAATATTAAGCTTTAGACTAAAACAAACTTTATTTTTTTAACGTATCCCTGATGAAAAACCCCACAGAAACCATTAAGTGTTTCTTTTGGTTTCTGGTTTTGTAAGGTGTTTTGGCTTGTGGTTTAACAGGTTACCAATGGTTGATTTGTATATTGGTAACAATATCCTTCCTTGAATGGTAATATACATGGCGTCACATACAACCAGCGCAAACAGTCACTGTTTATCTCAGAGACGTTACAGATGAGGAGTCCGAAGACTGGTTGAATATTAATGAGATTATATAAATGCATTATCCTGTGGTATAAGTGCATTCACCTGTTGTGTAAATGCATTATCCTATTGTATAAATCCATTATCCTGTTGTATAAATGCATTATCCTATTGTATAAATGCATTATCCTGTTGTATAAGTGCATTATTCTGTTGTATGAATGCATTAACGTATTGTATAAATGCATTATCTTGTATGAATGCATTATTCTATTGTATAAATGCATTATCCTGTTGTATAAATGCAGTGTCCTATTGTATAAATGCATAATCCTGTTGCACAAATGCATTATCTTGTTGTATAAATGCATTAACCTATTATATAAATGCATTATCTTGTATAAATGCATTATCCTATTGTATAAATGCATTATCCTATTGTATAAATGCATTATCCTGTTGCATACATGCATTATCCTATTGTAATAAATGCATTATCCTATTGTAATAAATGCATTATCCTGTGGTATAAATGAATTAACCTATTGTATAAATGCATTATCCTATTGTAATAAATGCATTATCCTGTTATATAAATGCATTATCTTGTTGCATAAATGCATTAATCTATTGTATAAATGCATTTTGTTGTATAAATGCATTAACCTATTGTATAAATGCATTATCCTGTTGCACAGATGCATTATCCTATTATATAAATGCAATCACCTGTTGTATGAATGCATTAACCTATTGTCTAAATGCATTATCCTGTTATATAAATGCAGTGTCCTATTGTATAAATGCATTATCCTGTTGCACAAATGCATTATCTTGTTGTATAAATGCATTAACCTATTATATAAATGCATTATCTTGTATAAATGCATTATCTTGTATAAATGCATTAACCTATTGTATAAATGCATTATCCTGTTGTATAAATGCATTATTCTATTGCATAAATGCATCACCTTGTATAAATGCACTATCCTGTTGTATGAATGCATTAACGTATTGTATAAATGCATTACCCTGTTACATAAATGCATAAATGCATTATCTTGTTGTATAAATACATTATCCTATTGTATAAATGCATCATCCTGTTGCATACATGCATTATCCTATTATATAAATGCATTATCCTGTTGTATAAATGCATTAACCTATTGTATAAATGCATTATCTTGTCTAAATACATTATCCTGTTGTATAAATGCATTATCCTATTGTATGAATGTATTATCCTGTTGCACAAATGCATTATCCTGTTGTATAAATGCATTATCCTGTTGTATAAATGCACTATTCTATTGTATAACTACATTATTTTGCTGTATAAATACATTATCCTGCTGTATAAATACATTATCCTTTTGAATAAGTGCCTTATCCTATTGTATAAATGCATTATCCTGTAGTGTAAGTGCATTATCCTGTTGTATCAATGCATTATCCTATTGTATTAATGCATTATCCTATAGTGTAAATGCATTATCCTATTGTATTAATGCATTATCCTATAGTGTAAATGCATTATCCTATTGTATTAATGCATTATCCTATAGTGTAAATGCATTATCCTGTTATATAAATGCATTATCCTATACTGTAAATGCATTATCCTATTGTATTAATGCATTATCCTATAGTGTAAATGCATTATCCTATTGTATTAATGCATTATCCTATACTGTAAATGCATTATCCTGTTATATAAATGCATTAACCTATTGTATACATGCATATCCTGTTGTATAAATAGATTATCCTTTTGAATAAGTGCATTATCCTATTGTATTAATGCATTATCCTATAGTGTAAATGCATCATCCTATTGTTTGACATGCCCAACCTTTCTCCTAAAAATCCTAACCAGTAATCCGTCTCGTAATGTACCTGATCTTCTGGAATCCATCAAAACATTGTTTTCTTTAAAAGTATTTTTATTTATCAAAGGATTTGCAGTGACAGTAATGAAGTGTACTTTTAACTTGTGTACAGGAAAAAGAAAATCATAAATGAGGACATATTTAATACAGTTACACAGTGACAGAGTCATGTGAGCTTTCTGTTTAAAGTGATTTATAAGAAAAAGCTTTATTCTCTGGTCCAGGCAGAGACCATCCTAGCACTGCTGTAATAAGGAGATGAAAAGTGCATTCCATAAAGAAACCATACGCTGATTTCACATTAATCCAGACGGGGTTTAATCATCTGTGGAACCTTCCACATTTCTAATATCAATCTGGTCTATGGCTCGCTTCACCCACTTGAAGCCGGGGTCCACACACATACGAGCTTCTTTCTTGGTGATAAAACTGCAGATGAGACGAGATTTTTGTTTAATTACACAGAAAACATTCAGAAACAGTGTAGAATATCTATGAGGAAGCAGTTCTGTTCCAGTAGCTCTGACACACATCTAATACTATAGCACTGTAAGAGAAGTGTAAACTCATAGTTATAACATAATCCTCTCATCTCAAAAATGAATATTAATAGAGCAGAAGAGGGTGAAGACCTACACGACTCCAGCTTTTGGACACTCAGTTCTTGTTTCTTCATAGGACACGATGGATCTTACTGGGATCGGTTTGTTGAAGAAATTAAAACAACATTCATCTGGTGATTTTCCATCTGTGAGGAAAAAAGAATATTATTATTATTATTATTATTATTAATTGTAGGCTTGGTAAGAGTAATATTAAAAGCCATGCTTTTGCTCAGAAATATATAAATTTATACAAAAACAAATGACTTTTTATGTGACAGAAAATGTGCTAAAGTCAAAATTGGTTTAAACTACAACAACACTTCTACACTGTTGTATGAAAAAGTTTGGGCACCCCTGGTCAAATTATGTTTGGCTAATTTCTAAGTGAAAAATAAGAAACAAACAAACAAAAAAAATTATATATATATATATATATATATATATATATATATATATATATATATATATATATATATATATATATATATATATATATATTCCCAGTATGTTAAATTCAGCAAATAAATTGAAATTGTACACTAAAATTTGCAGAAAGTGTCATATTTAAGTGTGCGGCTCTCTGTAGAGGATGTTTTAACTTATTTTCACTTACAAAATCAACAAAATATGGAATTTGACTAGGAGTGTTTACATTTTTGCATATTGCATATTACTCCGTCTAGACTGTAAGTGTAGCATCTATAGAGCTCCAAAGGTCAATTACATCACAGAAGGTTACAGTCTTTAAACCAGAAAGAAATCATGTGCCACCTTACTGGTCACTACCAAGTCTTTGTGTTTTAACAGTCAGTATTTAAACAGACAAGCAACAATGTGGACTCAATTACAAGAAAACACACAGAATGTCAGAAGTACAGGTATAAAAGAGCTGAAAACCCAAAACAGGCTTACTGTTGCCTGCGGCGAACGACTGAAGGCAGGTGACCACCAGCAGGCCGAGCAGGAGAGCGCAGTAAAGGTTTCGCATGGCTGCAGATTCGGCTCCACAGGTGATGAGTGCTGCTGATACGAGGGTAAGGGGTGAGCTTTCTCTGGGCCTCAGTGTTTTATCGGTAGATGAGGGGAGGGGGTAAAGTGCAGTCTGGGTGAGGGGACAACATAGGCGACAAAATGTTCCACTTTGACTGAAAGAGACAAAGAAACGTGCTGCTTCCACAGGAAACCTTGTGGTTTTCACCTTCAGAAGAGACAATCGAGCAGCAAACATCGCTCATTACCCCAACTCATCACAGAGCCTCGCTGAAAACCGCCTCAGATCATACACAACACGCAAACGTCAACAGCTACAGCTTTAGTCAATAAGACAGCAGGTCTGACTTAATTAGTGTGTTTGTTTACTTAGTAAACAAAAACGAAATATATTTTTATACAGTACTGTGCAAAAGCCAGACAGCACCCTTCATTAGTTTAACCCCTTAAAATCCCAGCTTATTACTTTCTAAGGCTTATTATTCAGTAACTACAGGGACTTCAATGCAAACAGGCTGAGCTATTCTTAGGTTATAGAAGTGTGTAATAAAAAAATGGGCCTGCTGGTGGGCCCTGACCATTTAAGGGGGGTTCACTTTCAGTCAAAATGGAAATTAAGTACAAGTTACTTATTTTTCTAGAGATACTTCTGAGGAGATTAGATATGACATAATCCACTTTCATGAGGAAGAAGAAAATGTGGCTCCTAACAACCACCTGGAAGACCTGGTAGACCCCAAAACTGCCCCCATCAGATAAACAGCACTTAAAGCTTTCATCTTTGAGAGAGAAGAGAAAATCAAGCTGCTTCAGATCTGAAAACATCCACAGGTGTTTCTGTCCATCTTTCCACTGTGAGAAGACGACTCAGCGCTGTGGGTCTGAAAGGATGTGTAGCTGATCAAGAAGAACCTCACTGAGAAAAGGAGACGGACACATCAAACAAAGAAGCTGAACAATGGACTGACCACCCCAGAGTCCAGACCTCAACACCACTGAATGTGTTTGATTACTTCAGAAAATGATCAAACAACTTCTAAGACTGAACTTTGGAGGTGTGTCTGCAGATTCTTTGAGGAACTGAAAGTGAGTCTCCTGAAAAGTGTGGAATTTTGGAGATGGATATTCCACATACATGCATGTAGACCACTGATAGAAACTTGGAGCATGTGGCAACCCTAAAAGTGGCATTTACAATACAGTCTTAAAAATGAATGTGCCAAATAGGGTTCTTTGTAGGGATAGAACTACCACTTTTGGTTCCTTAAAGAACCTTCCAGTCCATTAGGTACACCTTCCTTGTATCTGCACTCATTGTCCAATTTATCAGGTCCACTTACTGTTTAGGTACAGTTTGTAGTCCAAGCATGTGCACAGGTAGACCCCAGGGGGGGCTTGAGCTCCTGCCTCTCTGCCCTCAAATGGGTTAGTGCCCTCCTAGTTGGTGTATCTAACAACTGTTTTTTGTATTAACTCTGCTGTTCGTCAAGATCTAGTTCAGTGAGGTGAGGCTCAGTTTCTCCCCGGGAATTAGGTTGGAGCCCTGGAGTTAGAGTTCTAGCTTCAACAACCAAGGAACAATCACCTGAAGCTGGTCTGGCAGACTGTAGTTGGAACTAGTCTACACAGGAAAGTAGATCTCCAGGACCAGTGGACAAGGATGACCAACACAAACTGTGCAGCAGCAGATGAGCTATCACGGGTTCATTAGCTCACTCATTGTTTAGCCTGTTAATGGACTCCCATTTAAACTGAAACCAAAGTTCAATCAATAGTTTATCATTTTAAAATCTAATTAGCACAATGTAACCCCCACCACCCCCCACCCCCCAACACTGCTGCTAACCTGAACCACAGTGTTGTGGCATGTTTATACATGACTCATTGTGCAACACAGCCAGTCAGCTCTTACTCTGACCGTCACACTTTATTGGATTCTTTTTGCATAAATCAGCAACTGATTTTTCATTGATGTATTAAAAATATTCTACATCTTCTTCTGTTTGTTTTTCTGCTTATTTTTGTACTGTTTTCATGTCAGTGTACAAGGTAGAACCACAAACTTTGCAGGTTCGTACAGCCTGTGGACCAAATCAGAATGTAAACAAATGTTGGCTGTATATCCGGGTGGATAACTCACATGCAGTCAGACTAGAAACAGTTCAATTTATGGCACAGTTTACACTAAACAAGAACAGAATATATATACTTTACATCTACAAGGTGGACTGACAAGGTAGGAGTGTCTAATAGAGTGGACAGTGAGTGGACACAGTGTTTACAAACTCCAGAAACAACATCACCATCACATCAGTGTCACTGCAGTGCTGAGAATGATCCACCACCCACATAATACCAGCCCTGCGGTGGTCCTGACTACTGAAGAACAGGGTGAAAGGGGGCTACCAAAGTAAACACAGTATGCAGAGCAACAAAGCACAAAGTGCACCTAGTCCATGTTTATAGATAACAGTCATACAGTGTCAGAAACCACATTAGCAAGTCTGTTAGAGGTACTGGACAACTTCACACAGCTTGCACCATGCTAACTGGTGGGGTATAAACTTCCATTACTTCTTAGCTACATTAGATTTGCATCTATACTACTAAACTGAAGATGCACTGAAGAATTCCACCGATTTCTCTAAATGTCTTCAAAATTAGATGGTAAAGATCTAAACAGAGTCGTCCACCTCTAAAAGCTCCCTCACAGAAAGTTATTACATTAAATGGTTATGAATTCACTGCCTGATGACTGAGACGCTGTTTTACGGAAGTTTTGAGAAGATTTTGGCCTTAAAATCCATTTATGTTGGAGGGATACATAATATGCAGGGTGCTGTGAGGCAAAATAGTCCTGAAATAAAACTTATTTTTTCAGATTTTCCACTATTTTCCATCATCAACATTCCATATAGACTCAGAAGACTCGTGTAGGTTCACTGGTGGTTCTGGATAGTAAATAAAATGTCTATATTTGTGTTGTAGTCATGGCGACCCCTGGTTCCTATCACCACCACTTTAAAGACATCTGAGCCATTTCACACCAGACCACTCTGTTTACATCTCACACACTGAGTTATGGAGGAATTTTGACAAGCTCCCCTTTAAAAATGAGAAAAAATAAAACAGATAATTAACTGTGTGTACTTTGAGATAGAAGAACAAATTGGTGCTCATATGAAACCATCATAAAGAGAGAATAGAGAAAGAAAAAAGCGTCTGGTGTGGAAAAACCCGAGTCGCGGTGCAGAGCTCAGTGCAGCTCTCTGCAGGCCGCGCTGTGGTCGCCACAGATGAGTGGAGGGGCGGCTGAGCGGTTCGATGTGAATCAGGTCACATTCTCCACTTTACTCTTCGTAGAGTTTACTCTCTCTTTAGGCCCTGCAAAAGCAGCTTCATTAGCTTAATCATTGTTTAGCCTATTAATGGACTCACATTTAAACTGAAGCCAGAGTTAAATTAATAGTTTATTTACATTTTAAAATCTAATTAGCACAATGTAACCCCCACCACCCCCCACCCCCAACAATGCTGCTGCTACACCTGAACCACAACGCTGTGGCATATTTATACATGACTCATTGTGCAACACAGCCAGTCAACTCTTACTCTGACTGTCACACTTCATTTGATTCCCTTTATTTAAATAAGCAACAGTGAATTAAAAATATTAAAAATATTCTCTTTCTTCTTCTGTTTGTTTTTCTGCTTATTTTTGTACTGTTTTCTTATCAGTTTTCAAGGTAGAACCACAAACTTTGCAGGTTCGTACAGCATGTAGACCAAATTTAGAATGTAAACAAATGTTGGCTGTATATCCGGGTGCAGTCAGATTGTAAGCAGCTCAATTTATGGCACAGTTTACACTAAACAAGAACAGAATATATATGTGTGTGTATATTACATTATTCATCAGTGCCTCTTTTATGTCCTATATAAGTATTTTCAGTGAAAAAAAAATCATTTTAATTTCTTTTTTACCTCCAAAAGTTTAAAAATATGAAGTGCTGTAACACCCAACCATACATGTTGATTGAAATAAACTATCCAGCAGGTAATTTAATTCTATAAAAGTCTGAATAAAAAAGTTTGGCATAATTTTTTGTTTGAAAACTTTAAAACAAAAACCATTTTACAAAATAAGGCAACTTTAAAAGTGCTCAACTCACTGTCCACTGGAAAACCCTTATTCACATGTTCGTACTCTCTCAAATTTAAGGCAGCACAACCAAAAACAAAGGACTTTCATTTTGACATGCTTTTACAAAAGAGGGGCCAGGGTATTGCATCATAAAGAAGACCCCAAGTGACCTTCATGTCAAGGTCAGTAGCTCTTATACAAATTTAGTTGAAAATGTAATTTTTGAGTCGTGGTTAGAACGGTTCAGTTTACCATGTCTAGGTTTAGGGCTGAAATGTGTAATTATTTAAAAATGTTTATTTATTTATAAAATGTAAGTGTAAACTAAGTTCAAGGACAAATGTGTCTTTGAGTGTCTAAGTAGATGCCTGCTTAATTTTAAATTAGTCTGAAAAGTCAGGTGGCTCAACCAACCCTCGTCCTGACTGAAACAGGCAATTAAAAGCTTTAATAACACTCACTATATTCACTAAGTTCTGGAGGTTAGGGAACCGGCCCTGTGACCAGAAGGTCGCCGGTTCGATTCCCAGAGCTGACAGTACATGACTGAGGTGTCCTTGAGCAAAACACCTAACCCCCAACTGCTCCCTGGGCGCTGCGGATAGGGCTGCCCACCGCTCTGGGCAAGTGTGCTCACTGCCCCTTAGTGTGTGTGTTCACTAGTGTGTATGTGGTGTTTCACTGCACGGATGGGTAAAATGCGGAGGTGAAATTGCCTAATAAGGGTCACTTAAATTAAAATAAAATTAAATTAAATATAAAAGTGCGCATCATGACCTTTTTAATAAGATCCACATAACCACCAGGGACACCATATTCACAACCTACCAATGCCTTAGCAACTACCTTGGATACCATAGCAAAAGCCTAGCAACAACTTAACAACCACCAGAAACGCACTTTGTCATATTTTTCATAACTTTCATATTTCATAAGCTACATTCACACGGTGGGGGTTGTATGAGAGCTGTAACTGTCTTCTTTCCAGTCAAATAGA